AGGAGATAATTTTTCTTTTGAGAATTCATCAGTTTTTGTAGTGTATAGTTTGAGAGAAAGTAAAAATCCAACATTAAATTTTTCATGTCATGTATTTTGCGATTGAAATATTTGATACAGAGATTGAAACATGGACAGTTAGCCCTAAAAAGAAGCTTTGTAGCACTATTCTACACTCGCTTATTTTATTTTAGCTTACCCGTCGCCACAATCTACCGTGCGGATCTTCTTGAATTATTATCGTTTCCCAGCATTCATCCTTTAAAGAGGTCTTCCAAACAGTTCATGAGAAGCGCTTTCTGCAAATTGAGGATTTCCTGTACTTTATGAATGTCGTAGAATGCTAGTCGAGACATTTATCCCTAGAATCGTAAAGGTAGCCGAACTTAAGTGTTCCCTTAAACATTCGCTAATTGGTTGCAAGAGAGTGTTGGGAGAGAGGGTCAAACCACCCTTTGCTTATAACATTGCTTCTTGATACATAACACTACTAACTACTGCGCTATCCTTCCACACTTAGCCAAAGAAACTAACTAAATATTCAAAAGAAATTAAATGATATTCGATATATAAACAAAAGGGATTGAACAGCTGATATGTTAATACAACAAGATATACCTAGTGCTTAATGATAAAGCACTTTGTTTGTTTCTTTTGTTGATGATATTGCTCTACAATTACTCGTAGAAGGGATGGTGGAGTCGATAGTGATCCAGTCTATTATGAAAGACGATCTGGTGCAATCCCACCTCCCTTAACTCTTTTGCTATAATATGAGAGTGTCTTAGCTCGGCTACCTCGAAGATTTGAAAGATCATCATCTCAACCAGCAATCTGCCGTTTATAGAGAGCGACATAATCCTCAAACAGCACCCGAAGCAATACGTCAAATATTCGAAGACCTTTGTGAAGGAAGAATGCGAAAGTGGACTAATCGCGGGAGTGTTACTCAACACCACAGCTTTTTAGAAGTGCATTTTGCTATGCTATCACTCTCTTTTTCGTTTCCCTTGTTCTTTCTGTTAATCTTTATCCTCATATTCTCCTTCCCTTCTCACGCGTCATCCCATCGTTCTTTTTCTCACTTTTTTCCCTTCATCCTAATTCTGGGAGAAAAAACTAAAGTTTCTTCCTCCAAACCTCAGTAAATAAAACGACGACTGGTACGGCAACTCCTGTTGACAGTTATTCACGATCTGTACTACGTCTTTTGATAAAACTCTCAGGTTTCAAAGACAAGTTAGAAAAGCAGTTTTCTGCGATTTTTGAGGGGAAAAATGATTATTCGAACGTGTACAGTTCACATATTTCCATATGTGGGAATATCATTCACCACTCAGAAAGACAAAACGACTTAGTCTAGAGTCAAAATGAAGAACGACAAGAATTTCTCACGTTGAAAAAAACAAATTTCCCGTTTCAACTCACTACCCGTCTATGCCACAACACCAATTGATTAATCTCTCCCTCCACTTAACTATGCCCTTCCAGTGTCAGTGATTTTCTTTCAAAAAATTATTCATTTTGGAAAATTTGAATTTTATAGCTCAAAGTCGAAAACTTTTCCTATATTCGTCTGATAAGAGAAGAAAAAATGCAGATTTCTCTAGCTTTCTACTGTGACCTTATCGCAGTGATGATCGGCTTTTCTTTTTTTTTTCTCCCTCATCAACGCGGCCATTCCTTTTATTCGGTTAGGAGGTATAGATGAACGTTCTTCAACGTAACCCGATTTTGCGCGCATTGAAGCCGTTTCAAGCAGGGAAAAGAACAATAATTTTTGAGTAAGAATAAGTAGTTTACCGCTAATACAGATATACCTGTAGTTGTGTATATGTGTGCACGATTCGCCGAATTTTGAAGTCTAGAAAGGCAACGAAAACTCTCCTCACGAGAGAAGATTTATTACTGGCAGACATTCACAAAGAGGATGAGAATAGTTAGAGCAGTATTACAGAAAGAGAACCATATTTTTATAGAAGTATTATCAGATAGAACTAGAAAGAGGGGCTAATTTGGCAGATATCGAAGAAAAGTGATCTAAAGCCGCGAAATTCGCTTCCATTCAAGTAGGTGAGGTCTGCCGTCGCGACGTGGCGCGACGTCGCGCTGGCATGTGCGACATTGATTGCGCCGCTCATCCAGGAATCCTTGTCGCTGAACATCTACATTTTTAACCGACAGCCAGCACACCTGTCTTTGAAGGATATTCCTGTATTACCTGAAGGATTACAGTACTCTTATGTTCGTGACCTCTATTACATAATTACCATATGATAGCTTCAAAAGCGGTCGTTGATTTTGGGCACTACTTTCATGTAGGGAGTGGTTTTGTATTTATTACAGTATTCATAATTGTATATTTTCTCTTAAACACATATAATTTAAGTTCTTGTCCTCTTTTCTGAAGTTATGCATTAAAATTCAGCGTTTCCGCAGTGTAGAATATTCCTTCGCTAGGTGTTTGACCTTGAAAGAAATGGCCTTTGACGAGTTTCACCTCACCTTCTCGAAGTCAACATAATAGTTTTACTAAATTCAATCTAATATCTCTATCTTTTCAACCATTCAATATCAACGTTTCATTCATAGCTTTCGTTTTAAGTGTTTTTTTGAAACCACGGCTCAAATTTCAATATGCCTGATAATCATTTTTTAGTCAGCATATAGTATAAGTCAGCCCTCTTTAATAGAGCACTGACATGCGTGGCTCAAAAAATAATTATTAGGCTTATTAAAAAAAGTTTCATTCATAGCTTTCAATTAATCACTGATAGGAATCATGTCGTTTAGCTTTATTTTGTAGACCTGAAGTTGCTCAAGAGACCATGAACATAGCTCTTATTCACTCCTATATCAGGTACTTCTCATCACTAAGTCCTTGTATCCGCTGTATCCGAGACACTACTGATTGAAATGGGGAGAATTGAGGAGGGATTTTGCCATCACATCTATTTGTGATCTTCTAATGAAGAATGTTTGAAATTGCTCAACCCTTGCAAGGAAAGATTTACTATGCATTGAATTTCATTCGTAGTATTATAGAGGCTATTCAAGGAATTTCTGACCTACATATAACCTATCCATCGATGCATCAGATCACTGTTTATTACCCTCCCATCCAAGTCTGGAGATGTTTTCCTAATCCCAAGTGGATTTGGAATATAACTTCGCCTGAGGCAACATGTGCGTCGTGAGAAATAATTTTTTCCTATATAATCTTTAGATAGCCATGCTCATAGGTTCTAGATAATTATTTCAAAAAACGAATAGTTGTTCACTGAACAGAGATTTTCCGGTTTTCGAATAGATTTCTTCCAGTAAAGAAATGATTTCTTTCAAACAACGTCAACCACCAGCCATCCGAAATGAATGCTAACCGATATCGACAGCGCTTGTGGAAAGATTGGTTTCGGGCCAAATCTCACGAAAACGATGTTCATGTGGAACGAATTTCTTTGAATGCCCATACACGCTCAGCGGAGCAAAACCTTCGAATGATCCAACTATGTCCATCTAGGATCGTAACTCTTTTATTTGACCGCCTCTTGCGGTGGTATGATCTTTTAATATACTGAATAATGTAGATTGCTAAAACGAACATCGGTAGTGCAACGGTCAGCACGCGCCTTCGCAAATAGTGAGATCCGGGCCCGAAGCCCGCCCGACGCAAATGTTTTTGCACAGCACTCTACATTATTGGGTATGTAGGTCTCTAACCAGGAATTTAAGCTTGGGATCAATTACCAACACTCCCACGAAAGTTCACGCTCAGCTAATGAGATCGATTTTAAAATTTGTTGGTTGCCGTCTGTTACATAAATTCCAAAGAGACTACAGTCCTTCGAATTTGACGTCTCAGATGGTCATCACTCGTCCAGACACATTTGATTAATTTAGTTTATTGCGTCTGTTTTCTTTTCCTGAGAAAATCACACAAATCCAAGTTTGCGGTGGTCAGAAGTAATAGAACGTTGAGAGCTAAATTGGTCTTGACTTATTATGGTCAGTGGTCTCATAACCATAGTGCAATCAACACCTTTAACCACTGCGATACACACGCCCTTATTCCTAATATCACATAAAAACCATTTTCAAGCATTCAACTAGATTTCTCCACTTGTGACGTCAACCTCAGCCGCCAGCCGTCAACGGCCTGGCCCGAGTAGTCTGTTTCGGCATTGAACCCAGTCACGCTGACAGATATTGGGTATTGAAGATTGAATGAAATTCTTTCTACTTAATGCCTTCTAGCGGTATGATGACGGATGTACATATTTCGAATATACCCATTGATGCGCAAAACTTTCGCGTCAGGCGGGACTAGAACCCGCATCTGTCATAGTACCGCTTGAAGAGGTTAAATAGAAAGAATTTCATTCTATCTTCAATACGCATTATCTGTCAGGTGACTGGGTTAAATGCCGAAACCGACTACCCGCGCCAGGCCGTTGTCGGCTGCCGGCTGAGGTTGACGTCACAAGTGTAGAAATCTAGTTGAATGCTTGTAAAATGGTTTTTTATGTGATATCAGGAATAAGGGCGTGTGTAGCGCAGTGGTTAGAGGTGTTAATTGCACTGTGGTTATAAGACCACTGACCATAATTAGTCAAGACAGTGGAGATCAAACAACCTTTATGCGGTTGTGAGTTCACGTGTAGAGAACTTGGAGCCTTGCTATCGATAGCCAATCCAGCCCTCAACGCTCTATTACTTCTGACCACCGCAAACTTCGATTTGTGTGATTTTCTCAAGAAAAAAAACACACACGCAGTAAACTACATCAATCAATTGCCCTGGACGAGTGATGACCATCTGAAACGTCAAACTCAAAGGATTGTAGTCTTTTTGGAATATATGTGTTAGACGGCAACAAATTTTAAAACCGATCTCATTTGCCGGGCGTGAACTTTCGTGGGAGTGTTGGTGATCAGTCTAAAGCTTAAATATCTGGCAGAGTCCTACATAGCCAATAGTGTAGAGTGCTGTGCAAAAACATTTGCGTCGGCCGGGGTTCGGGCCCGGATCTCACTCTTTTCAGAGGCGCGTGCTGACCGTTGCACTACTGACGCTCGTTTTAGCACTCTACAATATTGGGTGTATTATATGTCCATCTAAGGCAGAAAGTCAATATGATAACGAATTCGCTTGAGAGTTGAACAGAAAGTAGAGAGCGACCTGGGGAGCGTTGAGCAATGGGAAGGTAGTGAAGCGAACAAGGAATATCAACCTTTCCATGCCCAGCTTTTACTCAAGGCTTATGTCAGCGTTAGCATATGTATCAGAAACGTGGTCGCCACGAAAGGAGGATGAAAGATCACTTTGAGTTGGTGAACGCGCAGTTGAAAAGTTGATACCAAGAGTATCGCGTCTTTCAAGAATGTGACAAGGGATCCGAAGTTCGAACCTCTGTCAACGATAGAAAATCGAGGAGACCGTTCTACACGTCAGGCTATCAAAAACAAAATGGACCGGACACCTAATGCGCTTTATTGACATGACAACCGATAAGCGCGAAACGTCACCGACTAAATTCTTCGAGGTGTCAAACTCACAACAGAAAGACCACCGATGCGAAGGTTTTTTTTATATTCAAAAACCTAGAAAAAAGATATAATTATCAGCGAATCTCTCAGCATCGTTAGCCGACGATTTAAGGGACGATAGATGATAAAAGTGAAGGACTATTCGTCAGGTGGTTTTCCAGTTCGCAGGATAAAAGGCTCGATAACAATATTGGAGAAGAAACTGCACGGCACCCGCGATAAACCTTTTGTGCATCTTTATTCAAGCAAAAAACTTATTTAATTTTCACCTTAGGAAACATTAACCTCTTACCAATTTTTCTTTTCACTATGAGTGCATAGGTCGGCTGCCTAATCGGTGGTTATCGAAATCTTTTGTTCAAAGCTGAATGTTGACGTTGACGAAATGTCTTTGTTAGTGTCTCTTATGCTTATCAATAACAATGTTTTTTGCTTCTAAAAGCAAAAAAAAAAGTTCCGGCGAACGTTAAGTGGAAAGTCAAATGAATTCAAGACACTGTCAAATTTTGGTTCAACTAAAAGACTGTGAGAAAGTACAGAGATTTTGAGGGTGGTACGTCAGATCCATACGTACGTTTCGGCGGTGGGGCCCGCTCCATCAGTAGCCCACACCCCAATCCCACACTGAACCCTACTTAATAACAGGGATGGGGAGACGCCATTTATGGTGATAGCGCATGATACTGTGTTATCTTCATTCTTTTCAGTCGATAGATTACGGCTGGTAGTGGATATGTAACCATCTAATCGACTTGATAGAAAACTTCATTACTGATTGTAGGGTTATGTATAGGAAATCAATGTCGCAAAGTTGGACTGGTATCCTCTTCGCTGAGAGCTAAATATCCTACGATATGATGATAATACAAAAGTGATGCTTGTTTTGTATTAGCAGGAGATGTAGTTGGTGTGGTGGTAGTGGAGATGGAAGTGCTGCTGGTAATAATGGCTGTGGAAGCGGTTGTCTCAGTGGTAATGGTGGCGATACTGGTTCGATGTTTTGATGTTTGTTCTCGTTTCTCAACTAAGTATCGTGTCAATAGAACACGAACTAGTCCGACAGCGTTCAAGGACACACACCTGTTCTGTTCATGACGTCGCCGTAGACGTAGTTCATCAAAAGTGATCATAATCATCCATTGTCCTCATCTATCAATTGCAACAAGTACTGCAGCGAGTTTTTCACCATAGTATTCATCAGCATCGTCAAGTTTTATTATGAGTAATGATTTTGTAATGGCGAAACTTTTTGCAGAAACAAATGTTTGAGACATCGAAGACGTTGATGGTTCAAAAATCACAGCTTTTTCCCTCAGAAAGTCTACTTAATCGCCATACTTTTCAAATTCACTTTTTCCTCTGCAAGCCATAACTTGAAATTAATATAATAAATTTAATCTGATAAGGATATGACATATTTTGAGCCATAGGTCTAGTGCTATATAGGCGCCTATTTCGTCCTATTGGGACTCATCAGTAGCACCCTCCCTCGGTTCCGTCGATCCCTTGAGGTGAAACAATCCTCCAAAGGAACCGACGCCGAGTAAAATTAAGCACCCAAAGTAGGATGATGTTATTACCTGACTTTGTGGTGACCGGCAGTCGAGCTTACGGCTTTTAAAATGAACTATACTTCTGCTATCGACTGCTTTTTTACAGACCCGCTCAAAATGATTCAATCTGGTAAGGATATGACATAACAACATCATAATAATAACATCATAATAATATAATAACATAAAACATATCATAATAATAATAACATCATCCTACTTTGGGTGCTTAATTTTACTCGGCGTCGGTTCCTTTGGAGGATTGTTTCACCTCAAGGGATCGACGGAACCGAGGGAGGGTGCTACTGATGAGTCCCAATAGGACGAAATAGGCGCCTATATAGCACTAGACCTATGGCTCAAAATATGTCATATCCTTATCAGATTAAATCATTTTGAGCGGGACTGTAAAAAAAGCAGTCGATAGCAGAAGTATAACAAATTTATTCAAACAGCTGACGTCTCGTTGGCTTCGCCTTCTTCAAAGCCGGCTAATATTGAATTTTCATGTATGTTTAATGGTCATCTATGAAACACAGCCTCATATAAAATGAACGCGTTGCAGTCATCACTTCATTATTGAAATCGGCTAGTTGTGGATATGCGCAACGAGTAATGTACGAAATTCACACCAGTTGCTATTAAGTGAGTCTGTTATGTCACAATTTACTATCAGCTTTTTTTTTCGGAATCTTGATGTTTTACTTTCTAGCCTTTTAGTAAGAACAATCCCTCTCATGGGTTTACAGCTTCATAGAGGCCTATCTTCCTTCATTTGAAATTCGGCGTACTTCCGGACTTATTTCTCTCAAAAAGTCTTTTGAACTGAGGAGCTTGACACTTCCTTCCGAGCGTCCAGCTAGAAGTAAACCAGTGTCAGTTTTATCAGTGTGGTCTTTGCGGTGGTCTGATGTGAAAGTGTCACATTCCCTCACGTCACGATCATGGTGGTCGGCTACTACCGGTTGTAATACTTGGTGCTGCTTGTGACGGATATCTCTGCCGCCGGAAAAGAAAATCCTACTCGACCTGCTAGTCAAATGGAAATTGACCTGAGGTCTGAACAATTCGTAGAGCCGGAACATCCTAGTGCTCAGACAAGTAAGTGTTAATTGTACTGCCTAACTTCTATAATTAAAATAAGTCATTCCAGACTCTTGTGTGGTTTCTTCTCGCGTAACAAAAAAGAAATGTCGTTGTATTTGATTAACATAAAACTGATCTTTTCTTAACTTTTGCGACGGCACCTAAGTCTATCGACATTACTTTCTATCAGAATCATGCAATCCCTCTCTTATATGATAATAGTATTCGTCTGTTCACCTATTCATCTTCTTCAAGGAGTAAATTAGTGACAATTTGAACAAATGAGATGGAAGACAAGTGGCAAGCGAGATGAGTAATAAAAGAAATGCCCAGCCGGATGTAATGATAATATTGAAGGGCATGAAATTAACATAAGCACTTCTCCAATCATTACATCAATCATTTGGTCCTTGTATTATGATAATCGTTTCCAATTTTATCCTTCTTCTTTAGCATTTTTTCATCCCTTACTGCATTCGTCACCCACGAGAGTCCTCGGATTTGCATGCAAATTTGGCTTCCACTAACAGATTCTGTCTTTTTTTAAATGAGAGTCACAGATCTTGTGTAGATAGATTCGCTTTGGAAATTCAGGCTAAATATGCTGCAACTTTATTCAGGACTACTTCCTCACCAAAGCCAGTTATCAATGTATGTGGATCGGAGACGTCTTTTCTTGAAAACCTCCATTGGAATTTAACCATTTTTGAGAAAAGAGGTTCAAATTGGAGCAGAACGGAGCAGAACTGATGACGCTTGCATTGCAAGTACTCTGACCATTGCCCACATTCGTCATCAGTACTAGTTTTTGCAGATCTTCGATAACAAGGTTATTGTGGCAAAGTGTTCTTTGACCTTTGTGAGCGTTTTGGTACATTCAACAAAATGACGATGACAATAACAACGCCCATTAGAGTACTATCAATATGATATCATTTCATAGTAAAAAAAAAGTTTCCTAAACTCCAAAAAACAAATATTCACTCGTTGTGGGAAGAAAAGTAAAACAGCTTCGTCCGCATAAATTTTTATATCCTCCAGATCCATATTTCAATCAAGGAAGTTTGCTATCAGCTGTAATAATTTTGTTTAGACTTGGAAAATGCAAATATTTCCTATTTATTAAGCGAGAGCAATCATAGCTGTAGCAATCGTATCATAGTAATATCACGGCAATCCTAATATCATTATCATGATATCGTATTAACTATTCCTATGCAAATCAATTATAAACATCCGCTTCTTTTTTCATAAGCATACCCGTGGTTCCTCGACAGAGCGCTGCAAATTCTTCTGCAATCCATCATCGATTCCCGAAAAAACCCGCCTGGCCAGCCAGTGACCACAGATATCTGATACCACTGAATGTTTCTGTTTCATATTTACGAAGTGTACACATCATACATGGACGCGTATACATTCGTATACATATATGTGCATAAGCTTTCATTTGGGAATCTATACGCATTGTCCAAACCTATTGACGGCCAGAAAAACTGTGATGTTTTTTTTCCTTGGTATCACTTTTCTATAATTTACATGTTTTCTCAGTTTTATTTCCCAGTATATTTTACTTGTACTCCCCAGTTTTCTGGCCGAGATATCAATCAGTAACCATTTAATTCGATGCTCCATTTGATTTCATGCAGCAAATTAGAATCACGTTCAGCGATGGTTTCACCGGCAAGGTAGATACGTGTGTATATGTGTTTCCTTGGTGTCTGGCGATATTAGTGATGATGATCGCGTTCGATTAGAAGCCTACTTTCATAGAGTTTTGATAGTTTCCCCCTCTACCGTGATTGTGATTGTGGCTATTCTTATTCGTGAAATGTGTTTTGATATCATGGGTTTCTTATAAATGATGAATTTTATAGTTAGCTCCGT